AACTCCAACCATCTACCAAGCATGTTTCTCGAACCTATCACGCCATTCTATCTAATCGTATCTAGTCTACGCTTTCAGTATTTATTCTTTTTCTTCTTTTTTTTCTTTCATCTAGCTAGTTTTTTTTTTCTTTTGCTAGCATCTCGGGTTCCTAGGACGTTGAAGTTGAAGGGTTCATAATCGCTCTTTTTGTCGATTTTATTCATTGGATGACCATCGGTCCCATGGGTTCCAACCAACGATTTCTATCCCACAAGCCATTCTAGAAAATCCTAAAGGTCAAGCAATCAATTCAACAAAACATAACCACGTTCAACGGATCACAATGTTTTCAAGACGTTTCTACTCTCTCATGCCATAGATCATCACATCAATACTCAAAACGGTTTTATGCACGTGATCTTATATGTCCTAAATACTATATGTAAATGCATAACCCTAATAACAACAAACTATATGATCCTAAAACATCCTATATGCACATGCAACTAAAAAGTGAAAATAAAAGAGAAAAATGCATGCAACACTACTCTATATGGATATGGTTTGGCGTTAGACGAATCCTCCCCCAGACTTGAACTGGACACTGTCCTCGGTGTCAATTCTCGTCTAGTAGAGGCAACCAATAAAATGAGTCAAAAGAGAAGAAAATCAAGAAGGAAAAAGAATACTTAGCTCGCGATGTTCGTTCACTCGCACTTAAGTCTGCCTACGTCTATCGCATAGCTAGCTTCCTCGCCTCCGCATTAGAACTCAACCTGGTGATAAGAGACACAAACCAATATCCGATGCAAAAATAAACAGAAAAAAAAAGAAAACTAACCCAAGGACTCGGGTTGCCTCCCGGGAGCGCTTGTTTAGGGTCTTAAGCTTGACCAAACTCTCTCAACTACCGGATGGGTCTAATGGGCGAAGATTATCGATCTTCTGCCAACCTGGATCATGAAGTTTAAAAGCATCTCTACAACAAAATGAGTTTGAGAAACGAGGCGTACCTAGTAGAGAAAAATCTGGTGGTGATGCATGAGATTCGAGCCAGTTCTCACGACAGTCTGATGAGTTAGTGACCTGCCCAACCATGTTAGCTTCTTTCTTACCTTTTGTCCTATCTGGATCCGGTCCTCGCCTAACCTTGTGTCTGTGTCCTGGTTCTTAGGTGTTTTGAGCTTGTAAACTGAACAAATAGATTTCACACTTTCGTCTGGATTGTCATTTTGATTGAGCATGAATTCTATTGTCTCGTCTCCAATGGACATAGTAAGACGACCCGCTCTGACGTGGATGACGACATCTGCTGTGTTGAGAAAGGGACGCCCTAGAATGATAGGCATGCTTGAATCTGCATCCATGTCAAGAACCACAAAATCGACAGGTATGTAATAATCACCCACCTTAAGTGGCATATCCTCTAGTATACCTGCAGGTCGTTTGGTCGACCTATCTGCCAATTGTAATATCATTTGTGTGGGTTTGAGTTTTCCCACACCTAGTCTCTTGAAGATCGACAATGGCATTAGGCTTACGCTTGCTCCTAGATCACATAACGCCTGCTCAATAAAGAGATTGTCCAGTTTGCAAGGAATGGAGAAACTACCTGGGTCTGCCATCTTACGGGGCAGATCATGTTGAAAAACGGCACTGCACTCTTTGGTTAATGCTACTGTCTCCTTCTCCAGTGTCTTCTTCCTAGCCAGAATATCCTTGAGAAATTTGGCATAAGAGGGCATTTGAGTGATTACCTCATGAAAAGGTATTGTGATCTCCAATTTCTTTATCATGTCCGTGAAGCGCTTAAACTGGCTGGCCTCTTTTTGTTGCACAAGTCGTGAAGGGAATGGAACTGGAGGAGGTCTGGGAGGTGGAGGAACATACTTTGGTTCTTCCTCACATGTCATCTTAACTGGAGTATCTGCAGACTGAATGTTAGAGGTGATCGCAGATCTAGAGTAAAAAGACTCACCTTTTTCAAGAGTAGGGGGGACGACATCCTCAAGTTGCTTCCCACTTCTCAAGAACACTGCATTGCAG